AACAAAAAAGTCCAATAGAGTTAGCTAAATAATAATACACTGAATTAAAACCTAGGTCTACAGATCTCCTGGGTGATACATCATCTGAGAAAAAGTAGAGAACCTTTTCTGTGGCAGACAGCTATCCATCCATCAAAACTTGCCCCACTCCCACTCTAGAAGGTCCACATCTCCTTCAAGGAGACCTCCTTCCACTGACAGCAACACCCATCTTAGAATGGAGAATGAGAAATTAGTTTCTGTGACTTTGAGCCTTTGTATTTTGGGGACTATTGATTTTGTTAGCAAGTGTGGCCTAACTAAAATACTTACTGGGACACTGTAATGAAAATCTGGATTATCAATACAATTGTGACATGACTACCTTCTGAATTGGCTGTGATCTTGGATGGGTCAAAAGCATTTAAAAGTAACGAACGTTTCAAGAGTTTTTTGGCAACACAAAAAGAATATGATGTTATCACTGTTGGGGGGAAGGTAATGTGAGAACTCTGTACTGTTTTTGCAACTTCTTGTGAGTCTTAAACTATTCCAAAATAAAAAGATATGAAAAAGTATTCAAAAAGGTGAAAAAAATAAATATTTTCAGATTTCCACCTGTAGCTTTGGATTCCCACAAGGGAAGGACCTCAGTTTCCCATTCTGTAAAATGAGAATTACAGCAATGGCTTTCAAACCGTAGGGTCACTGAGGGTGTTTCAAAAGCTCAGGCAAATATCTGATTTGAATTTTGTCTTTAACATATTAAAACTATTTGAAAACACACAGGCCAAAGCATTACATGCTAACTTTTAACATATTGGGGACCCCCACAAGTTCACATGAACTGTCACATTAGCTCTTTGACATTCAGACTTTGGAACAAAGTGTCTTCTTTGCCATCTATGCATTATATTTGAACCTCTTCTGAATCAATAATTACACATTTTGTAACTACATTGTTCTGTTTTGTTGGAGATAGATAGGTGTTAGGAGTTTGTTTTGTTTTGTTTTGTTGCTTAAATTCAGAACTGTATCATAATTAGAGAAATGCAAGTTAAATTTACAACATAGCATTTTTTTTTTACCCACCAGATTGACAAAGATCAGAAACTTGATAACACTGTGTGAGTTAGGATGTAGGAAAGAGGTGTCCTAACAAGTTATTGATGGGAGTTCTAAGTGCCATTGGAAAGCATCAAAACTTTAAATGCATATACCCATTGACCGAGCAATTCTATTTTAGGAATGTATCCTACAGATGTACTCTCTTCTGTACAGGCATAGATACAGATATATATTCATTGCAGCTTTGTCTGTGGTAACCAAAAAACAAATTAAATGTTCATTAACAGGGAATGTTTAAGTAAATTTTAGTATATGTATATACAAATGGAAACCTGAAATCTTCCTAAAGCAATGAGGCAAATCCAGATCCACTTGTAAGCAATATTTTCCAAAATACATTGTTATGCAAAAAAAATAAAATAAAGCAGGCCGTAGAGTGTTGTTTGCATTATGGTATTATTTGGAAGAAAAAGAAATGGATGGATATACATATACCTTTCTGAAGAACACCCCAGCAACTGGTAATAGTTACTATTTCCTGAAAGGAAACTGGCGGGGGGGCTGTGAGAGGTTGAAGGGGCGCCCACTTCTCACTGTATACCTTTTTATACTGTTTGAGTGTTTTCATGTTAAGATATTAACTATATAAAAGAGTGAAAAAATCAAGCATGTGTATGCTTGCTCGTATGAAATTATCTAAGTGAATATACTATTAAAACACAGGTGTGCCACCCTCCGTTAGATGCCAGGCAAGACTCAAAGCCAGCTCTCATCAAAATAATTGGTTGCGTAATCACCACTTAATGCCCGACAGGTTGAGTCTTGATTATATCCTATTACAGTAGGTTTTAGCACTTATTTAACTTTCAAGTGTTTCTTTATTGACCTTCATGTTTATGTGAGGACTGCACGCAGTTGTTAAATATTGTTAGTGAATCAATTTTGGAATATAAAAAATTTTCCCCTGGTCTGCTCCAAGATTTCAGATCAGGTTTCAGTGAAAAGGTCAGGAGGGGCTTGCTAGTGTCATCCACGACGTGCCTCCATGCTACGTGCCTGGAGCCCACGCCCCAAGATTCTATTCCAATGCATCTGGGTGGTGCCTGAGCATGTGTGTTCTCAGCAAGTTCCCTTGGAGACTCTAAGGCACTCTCCAGTTAAGAATCACCTGCCGCATCCAGAAAAGCAAGAAGAAAATTATAAGCCCCACAAACCTTAATCCAAACCTTAAACCAGAGCCCAACCAGAAAGAGAAAGCAACTCTGAGGATTTAAGTAAAGTTGATGTCAGGAATTGATTCACAGGTGATGAAAGAGCTGAAAGGCTAAATGGGAATGGTTAGGCAACCAGAAGTTAGTAACGGCTGGAAGTCACTACCCCTGCTCCCCAGGGAGAAGGCTGGGGACCAAAGGAGGAGGACATATTTTCAGACACCAGGAACCAGTCACCTGCCAGAAGCTGAGGCCACAGTGGGCCCTTCTGGGATCCGGGGCCATAGCAGAGACACAGCCACTGCCACCCAGATAGGGAGAGGAGTGGCAGAGAAATACTCTGGTTTCTTCCTTCCATCCATTAGGCAAACCCAACAGGAAGCTAGAAGCCCCAGAAGCCTGGAAATTACAGACAGGGGTCAGCTCCGCTGACATGCAGAGCTGAGCAGAGTGGCAAGGAACGGATCAAAGGGCAACAGACTCAGGGTCAGCTCACCAGCCTTGGTTCAATTTATAGGTGAAACTTTAGGCCAGAATTTTCTGTAGTACTTTTGAGGAAACTGAGTGGAGAGGTTGCTGACACAAGTACTTCTGAAAAGTGCAAAGCTAGCCATTCTTGTTAGCCTTTGTCTAGGAAAATAAAGGAGACTAAAAAGGTATTTGCATACCAGTTACCACACAACTTAAATGGAATCTATAATTTTTCTAGATTCTGTCATTGTACCACACTTTTGTCTGTATGTTTACTGAAAAGGGAAAAATGCTTTTCTGTAATAGTCAAAGGTTTGCTTTAATAGTTATCTTCCAAAGTAACCATGATACTAATCACCCATCCAGCCATCACTTTTTAGATACCAGGCACTGTTATAGACGCTGGTGTACAAGGAAGAAAATAAAAGTTTCTGCCTCGAGAACTTAAATTTTAGTCAATTGTGCATGGTTGCCATAGGAAACTAAACTTGTTAAAATGTCTACTGTCAAAAAAATTTTGATCACTTGAAATTATAAATGATTTTGTTAAGAGAAGGATATCTTTGCTCACAAAACTGATGACAACCCAGTGACTATGGCCTCATTATTCTTGTTATGATATTACCAGAATTTTTAAAATATTGTGTATTTTCTTAATAATTGAAGAAAGTATCTGGAAATCTCCTGCCAGGAATCATTTAATGAAGGATATAATTCTAACTGACTGACTTTGAAGCCTATGCAAATCTCTATTCTTCTACAGTTTCTGATACTTGCCCTCAAGGATTCTTAACTGAGCTGGTCCTTTATTGGCCTTTTGACTGGAGGAAATTTATTTAACCTTTAAGAGGCTGTTTCTACATCCATGAACTAGTATGATAGTGTCTATCTCTGTGTTGTTCTGAGGATTACATGACATAGCACAGGTAATACAGGTAATTCCTTGGTAGAGATTTTTAGTCAAAAGGAATATTTAAACCATGGGGGGGGGGTAAATCCCTTTTTCTATCAGAAACATGTTGGAAATTTTGTATAAATACATTTTATTTGAATGTAAAAATTCAAATACATGCAGCACAAGGGCAATGATCTAGGAGAACTGATACTCAGTCTTGATATCAAGAAGTATTAAGGAGGAGTGGAGACTGGGGTAAACTGGAGAAGTCAGGCTTCATCCAAAGGAGCGGCTTCTCAGACCTAGCCAAGCGCTACCATGTGATATTCCAAGTCCAGATTGGAGTGCCCACTGAGGCAAAGAGATTGTTTTTTTTGTTTGTTTGTTTTTTGTTTTTTTTGCGGTACGCGGGCCTCTCACTGCTGTGGCCTCTCCCGTTGCGGAGCACAGGCTGCGGACGCGCAGGCTCAGCGGCCATGGCTCACGGGCCCAGCCGCTCTGCGGCATGTGGGATCTTCCCAGACCAGGGCACGAACCCGTGTCCCCTGCACCGGCAGGCGAACTCTCAACCACTGCGCCACCAGGGAAGCCCGGATTGTTATTTTTAATCCCACGTTCATTAGGATTTATTGAATGTAAGGGGCAAGGGAAAACAGGTAATAAGTAAATTGTCATCTATCTCTATAGACAGATATACAGATAGACTGATGGATTGATAGCTAGATACAGATAGAGATATTCCAGATATACAATGTTAGGTGTGATAAGTTCTAAGAAGATGAAGCTGACCGGAAGGAAACGGAGCCATTGGGTGGTGGAGGAGGGACTGCAGGATTAGAATGGGCTAGCCAAGGAGGGTCTCTCTAAGGATGGGAATTTGAAATCAGGACCTGAAGGGGTTATGGAAGGTGGCAGGTGGATAGAGGGAACAGTAAGCACAGAAGCCTTGAGGCTGGAGAGTGCTTGGGGCTGCCGCCTGAGGGAAGGAGAGAGTAGTAAAGAGAGGAAGTCAGGCAACCGGTCAGATCAGGGAAAGCAGCGTCCACCAATAGCAGGAACTTCACCTTATAACTTAGAAATGCTCATCCTCGGCCCTCACCCTAGACGCACTGAGTCAGAAACTCTGGGGTGGGCCCAGCAGTCTCCGTCCTAACAAGCTCTCCAGGTGGCTGTGATGCACAAAAAAGTTGGCAGACCCCCGAGCAGGGAGCTTACAGCGATTGATCCCAGTTGTTACTCAGGCACGTGATCACGGTCCTCTTTATTTCATTAGCTGGGCAGGGGACCCGCCCAGCGCTCTGCTGATTTGCCGGGCGCTGACGCTCAGCCGGGGTTCACCCCAAGCCCGCGGCGCCCCGCGCACCCACCCAACTGCAGCCCGACTCGGTCTTCTCTGCAAACCACCCGGGCGACCCGGGGGCGACACGGCTGCTCGGCCACAGTGGGGACCAGACGCCCAGGGCTGCAGGTGCAAAGGCGCCAGAGCCGGGGAGGCCAAACGCGCCGGCCTAGACCGCAAGGGTGTGAGCTGGGCGCCGGCTGCCGCAGCCCGGGGTGCGCATCCCTCGCCGCCCGTGGTCGCCCAACCCGCGGAGACGCGTGTGCGCCATCCGGCTCCCGGGGGATTCCGCGGGTGCAGGGCCTCGCGGCCCGGGCATCGGGATTGGACCGCTGCTTCCCCCGGGAGCCGCTGATGCAAAGGCAGGTTGGGGCGGCCGAGCCCGGCCAGCGCCCTCTAGGCAGCGGAAGTGGAGCTTGCTTTACATCCGTCCTCCCCGCCTCGCAGAGTTGGGAGAAGGAAGGCTGGGGGGTGTGGAAAAATAAAAGGAAAAGTCCTTGCACCATGTAGACCCGCGCCCCCCTACCCTGGCACCCCGGCCGGCCGGGGACCTCCCAGTCTGCGGCCATGAACGCGAGCAGCGAGGGCGAGAGCTTCCCGGGCTCGGTGCAAAGTAAGTGCTTTTCCGGGCGCAGCGCGCGCTCCGGGGCCCAGTGCGCGCTCCGGGGCCCGGGCCCAAGCACGTCTGCGACGCAGCTAGCAGGCCCGGGGCCCCGAAATCAGGGTGACGGCCTGGAACCGGCGTCTCGGGGACCGCGGCGGGCGCGCCGTGCGGGAGGCGCCGGAGACGGCTGGCGGGGGGGGCCCCAAGCCGGCGCGGGGGCGGGGGCGTTCTCCAGCCTCCGGAGATCTCTTGGAAGGGAATCGTGGGGGAGGGCGTGCCGTTCAGACAGTCGTCACCCCCTTGGGGCATTCCCCGCCCCCCGGCGGAGTTTGGAGGTAGATTTGGGGTAACCGCGGCAACGCTGATGGGAAAACTTCTGTCTCGGCGGCCCCAAATTCTGGAAGTCTGGGGCTCGGGGACTTTCACGAGGTCTGCCGGCTTACTGCAAAGCCTTTTCCACATTAAAGGTGGAGATCTGAATGGGGAACGGGGCCGTGGTCGTTTTGAGTTTGGGGTTCATTTTAATTTTCTTGTTGAAGACAGCCTTTTTCAAGTCCATGGTTTCGCCCGGAGCATTGTTTCCCAAAGTGTGGACCAGGGACTGAGCGCAAACCGGCCACCTGGGAGCTCGAGCGCTTACTTAAAAAAAGAAAAAAGGAAAAAAAAAAACTCTTTGCGTCCCACCCATCAGGTGGCGGGGCGGGCTTGAGGGGAGGAGGGCGGCCTTATCCTGGGCGATTCTGATGCACATAAAGTTTGAGAACCCCTGGCACCTAGTAAGCGCTTAGCTTGTTAGCTGTTACTGTTTACAAGTTTGGAGACATTGGTTTCCAAACTTGGCTGTGTATTCCATGCATAACTTGTGAAAAGCGCAGATTTCCCGAAACCTTAGCCCGCATTCAGCCCACCACCATTATGACTCAGTATCTCCGAAGTGGGGCTCAGACGTGGCCATATTTAAACAACCCCCCACCCCCGGCCCGCCCCCTTATTCTGATTTGGAGAACTTTGGTTTGGAGAACTTTGCAAAGATAAAGGGATTCTTTTTGTTGGTGATACGCACAAATTGTGCCCGTTGTTTGTTACTGGGTCTCAATTAATACAGATTTTCGGAGGGGATACTTTCAAATTCAAATAGGGCACCTCAGTAATAACCTCACCAGGTGACACGCTGGGGGAGGGGATCCCTGTGCTGGCCTTTTACAAGCACCATCTCATTTAATGCTCATAACCATCATATGAAGCAGAAACTTCTCCCCATTTCTTCCTGGGTATCAGTCCTATTTGATCATTAAGGAATCCTCAGCGATGCAATCACTGCATCTCTTGATTCCTTGTCTTCCTCTTAGCTTGGGCACCTTAGTAGCTACAGGAAGGCAGTGTTCCAGAGGAGAAGAAAAGTGTCCATTCCTTCCATCCATTGATTTCGGTGTTTGCAAGATGGCTTATAAAACATTACCATGCTCAGCCCAGAGGATCTCTTCATAGCAAGTCAACCAAATTGTATTTCTGCACAGAGATGTCTTGTCTTGGTTGGAAGGGGGAAATTGGACGTAAAGCAAATATTTTATAAATTTTCCAAAAAAGATTATGATGCATGGATGCCAACCATATGTGTACAAAGGTAGTTCTCGTACTGTTTAGACTGGGGAAAATTGGGAATAATATACAAATCTTATAGCTACTGAGAAATTATGAGGCTTGGAAAACATGGAATAATGTGTTGTCATTAAATAATTATTTTATAGAGATTTTAGTGATATAGCACAATGCTTGTGCGATAGCATGTGGGAAAAATATTAATTTACAATGCACTAGGATCTTAAATAATTTTTAACTGAAAATGAATGGAAGAAAATATTTTGTAATGTTCATGGTATGCATGGGTGGAAAGATTGTGAGTGATAGCCCTCCTTGCTTCTTCTCTTCCAAATTTTCTGTTATAAACATGAGTTTCCTTGTAATAAGGCAAAGAAATTTTTAAAAATAAAAAGGTAGTCATATTGGTTAGAGACTTATTAATTGTATTTCTTTATTTAACAAACATTTATATAGCACTTTCTAATGTAGTGCCAGGACTGTGGTAAGTGCTTTGCAAATGTTAATACAGTATTAACTCTTTGTATTATTACTATTGTGAAATAACGCCTCTGTCAGTTAGGAATGAATTTTGGTTACAAGTAACAAAACTGAACTATACTGGCCTAATGAGAAGTCTAGAATTGGTTGATTCCAGGGTTGATTCAGGGGATCAGTGAAGTAAGCTTTTGTAGAGATCTTAGCATTTATCTCATGGTTACAGTGTGGCTGCAGAAGGCCCTGGCATCACATCTGCATTCAAGGCCAGAAGAAGAGGTGGACAGTGTTAACAATGTCAGATCCCTCTTTATCATGAAAGCCACACTTTTCCCAGAAGCTCCTCCAGCATTGTGCTGGAGGGGTTCCCAAGTATGTAGTGGACCAAGATTATTTAGACTAGTGCTTCTCATAATGGGATAGGGGGTTGGAATAGTGGGGGCATTGGTTTTCATAATGACTGGGAAGTACGACTACCTTTTAGTTGGGGTAGGAGATGGCTGCTGGTCCTTTGACGTGTAGGGTAGCCCTGCACATTGGAGAACCTTCTCACATAAAATACCACTAGTGCCCCTGTAGGCAATGACCAGGAGCATCACTTGGGTCTGGGTACATTGCTGCTAGGGCAGAACTGGGATTCTGTTTGCAAGAAGAGGGGAATGGAATAGCTATTGGGCCAGCAACTAGCTATGTCTCTCTGTCTGCCACCGTGCCCTTTTTTTTTTTTTACCATGAATCTGGTTTGTGTTGTAATTTCAAGCTGTTTGGAATTAATCTGTGACTTCCCCTGTGTCCCATGGAGTTCCAGGTGGCACAACAGTGCTGGTTGAGCTGACTCCCGACATCCACATCTGCGGCATCTGCAAGCAGCAGTTTAACAACCTGGACGCCTTTGTAGCTCACAAGCAGAGTGGCTGCCAGCTGACCGGCACGTCTGGGGCGGCGCCCAGCACGGTACAGTTTGTATCAGAGGAAACGGTGCCCGCCACCCAGACTCAGACCACCACACGAACCATCACCTCTGAGACCCAGACGATCACAGGTATGGCTGGGGGATGGGGGAGTCACTTAGAGTTGGCCTGGCTATGTCCCAGACGCCTCCACAGAACTTGTTAAAAATATAGACACTCAGGGCCAACCCTCTAGGGTTGCTGATTCATTATTTTTAACAAGCTCCACTGGGAAGACAGCTGCCCAGCCAGGTTTGGGAACCGCTAGGTTAAAACATTAAGTGGTAGCAGTTATAAATTGTTGTCATGTGGTAAACAAAACAAACAGACAAAAACCAGGTTTCTAAAACAAAAACCTATATACTACGAAAAAATACTCGCAGGAAATGGTAAAAAGGAAAAGGTGGTAATTTGGGGTGGTGGGAGTATGTGTGTGATTCCTGAATTTGCATTATTTGTCTAAAGGGACAAAAAAATGTTTAAATTTTTTTTTTTTAGTTTTTAAATCTATAAATAAGCATTGATGCCTCCCCTCCCTTGTGCTACCAACCAGGAAAACAGAAAAGTTCATCCTAGTTCTTGGTTGTGTCCAAAATAAATTGCAAATGAATGTAAAATTTAAATGTGCAGCATGAAACTGCAAAAGTTCTAGAGTAAAAATTATACACACACAGAGACCCAAACACACACGCACACGCGCACACACGCACACACGCACACGCCCCTATACTTATACCTATATAATCTGCCTTACGGGACCAGACAGATTACTTTAAAAAGAGGAAGTAAGCCATTTTTGAGATAGTTGGTAGACACACTGCTGGATCCAGTGGGGAAATGGAAAACGTATTCGTTAGCTAAAGGCATCCCAATTTTTAAATTAAAAATTATATTTATTAATACTGTGCCTGCCAAGGAAGACAGGTTGTAGGATCCCTCCCCCAAAAGAAAAAGAATCATGTGATGAGGTTGTAAATAAAGCTACCATTTTTCCAAAGGAAAAACAATGTATAAAAAAGTCTAAAGACAACTGGGGAAAAAATAGCAGCGCATGTGTGACTAAGGCCTAATGTCCCTCATATATAAAGAACTCCTAAAATTCAATAAAAGAACCGAGCAGAAAAGTCAGCAAAGGGCAGCAGATGATATTCAAGAGCCACTAAACATAAAAGGATGCTCCATTGCCTTAGTAGTTAAAGAAATGCAAATCAAATATTCCTTTCTTTACTTTCTGGAAATGTAAATTCATATAAACTGGGCAATTTTGTGATATCTTTCAATCTTTAAATCTTACATTTAAAATCTTCCAAATTTTAAAATGTACAGAAACATGTTTACCCAGTAAGTGCACTTCTAGGTATTTATCCTATAAAACTTGATAACCAAATGTACATGGGTATTTGCTTAACTTATATACTGTAAAGAAAATGGAACCTTTGTATGTATATGTCAAGAGGAAATTAGATGAATAAATACCAGAGATGAATAGTGAATAGTAATCTAGTAATTTATTAGATGAATAAATTCAGACAGTGGAATGTGACTTAGCATTGAAAAGAGAAGCTAGATCTCTGTACAGACATAGATTCTCAAGGTAAGTGTAAAAAAGCATATATAAGCATACATACATAGTATTATATTCACGGAAAGCTGCTAGAACAGGAATGAAGCGTGTAATGTTAATGAGAGAAGTAAGCTGTGCATAAGGCATTAGGGAATGGTGAGGACTGTGGTAAAGTAGAGAAAGCTGCTCTTTGGATCCAGTCATATTTGGGTTTTTCTGAGAAACTGAAAAATGTAAAACTTCCGAAATTTTAAAACTTTGTTGGCCAAACAGGATACGTCTGTGAGCCTGATTGAGCACACCAACAGCTTCTGACTTGTTCTCAATGTTTTGCAAGCAGTTAATCTGGAGCCGAGGTGTGGAGAACATCTGAAGTGGGGGTACCAACTTTCGCCCTATCAGTTGTACATTGGTGTGGTGTCTGAATTTTTCAGCAACAAGCAAAATTTTGTGGTTGTTTCCTTAATGCCCCCAAAATAATGTTTCTGCTGAATTCCTTAAGCATTGAAATATAATTGATCACCTCACAAACTTTAGTAGGATTACCTTGAGGTCTTCCCACTTTCTCCCGAATTTATTTTAATTCTCATTTTAAAGGAAGTCACCAAGAAAATGTTAAAACTGAAAACCACCTTAGAGATGAGCCTGGTACAACCTTCTCATTTTACAGCTGGACAAAGTAATGCTGCAAGTGGGTATGAGGCATGGCCAGGGTCCCACCACAGGTTCAAGACGGTCCTGGGACTTAAGTGCTTTGGCCCTTACCCTCGTGGTCTTCTCCCTGAAGACTCCGTGTTGGGTTCCCTATCTTCAAACACAAACTCCCAGTAACCCCACACACTGGGTGTGAAGCCTGGGACACAAAGCCCCAGCGTGAGGAGACCTCAAGGCCTACACTTTATTGGTGGCCATTGCATCCTTCTGGGTTCCAAGCCTTTGCTTATGCTGTTCCCTCTGCCTAAAATACCTTTCCTGCCTGCCTGACACCAACTCAACCTCAAAACTTTAAGGTTCATGACAGACTGCACACAGAGGATCTGGCTCATCTCAGGACATTCCCCTCCCCTCTGAATTGCAATAGCCTTGATGATGTCCTTTCTGTTTTCCAAGTGTGCCACATTTCCTCAAGCCTGGGAGCCTTTGTATGTGTTGTTCCCTCTGCCTGGAACTGACTCAATTCTTATGCGTGTGTCAGAGCTGGGCTTAAAGGCATTTCCTCAAAGAGCCCCTCTTTGACAACACACATGCATGCGCACGGTTCTCCCAGACCAGGTCAAGTCCCAGTACTTAAATGATTATTTGCAGAACAAACTTCAAGGTCTGTCCCATTGCTGAACCTTAAGCACCATGAAGTCAGGAGCTGCACCCCTCGTGTTCACCGTGGATCCCCGGCACCATATTCTTTGTGGAGTGAATGCACAGTTGCCCAAATCTCACATCTATCAGTGAAGCTGACCCCACACCAAATAACTGCCCCTTCTTTTGTCCTAGTTCTTTGCTCAGAGATGTTCACCCTCCTCTTAGCATTTCCACTACCCTGCCGCCATTCACTCTGCCCATGCCTCAGTTTTGCCAACTGCCCTGTACGCTCAGGCCAGGCCTGGAGCCCTCTTTGTGCCCAGCTCATGGTGGTACCTACTGCACAGAGTTGACAGGAGCTCCAAGCTCCAGAGACGGACTGCTGGACATTTATCCCAGTCTGCCATCCTGGCCTGTGGACAAGTCACTTACTCTGCTTAATTTTCCTCATCTGTAGAAAGGGGTTATAATGGTTCTTAATACTATTAGGTAGTAGAATTAGGTTCCTAATTCATACCTAATATCATTGGGTTATTGTGAGGACTCTGCAGTAATCCACATAAAGGACCTGGGACAGTATCTCAATAAACGACCGCTTTTATTCATGCAGAGATTAACACATGGGGCGAGATTTGCAGGATGCCGAGTCTCTGCCGGATCCAGCTGCTCTCCCTGACTGCGCCTGCATTTCTGCCACAAAACAAGCAGAATCTTGCTTTTTTTCCCTTTCTTTAACACTGTTTAGTTTGGTTTTCTGGGCCCGACTTCCCCCAGGTTTGGGCTTCAATGTTGCATAGCCGCAGTTTCCAGACCTACCTATGGACCAGGATCCCAGGGGAGCTTGTTAAAGATACTGGTGCCTGGGCTGCACCTCTGAACCCGAATCGCTGAGGCTTAGGCATCTGCATTTTTAACAAGCACCTGGGGGATTCTGGGCCTCGACCCAGTTGGAGGGTCGCTCACTGCCCTAAGTCACAGTCTGACCCCTCACCCTGGCAGATTCCTCCAGATACCCACACCCAGTTACTGTCCTGGGCAGTTTGTCCCTCTTCAGTCCTTGATTAAACGAAACCCTCCCTCACTCAGCTCATATGTCTTGTCTCAGCCCAGTAATAGTTGGATGTAAAGTAAAGTTTATTCTCTGCTAGCTTTGAAAGCTGCCTACAGTTTGGCAGTTAATTTAAGAACTTTTCTATAAAAGCAGTAAAATTAGATACTGATGCTGGCAAAAAAAAAAAAAAATTAGCACCCTATATGCATTTTCTAAGCTCACGGCTTAAAATCATGGGGCTTTGGAGTCAGGTCCCCAAGTTTGGTCTTGGCTGCACAGGGCCTTAGGAGCTGTGTGACCGATGCAAATTATAATAGCTCTTGGTGTCTCGTTTTTAAAGTGGGGACAAGAATAAATAGAAAGGCCACAGAATTTGGTAGTGAAGAGTCTAAGGTCCTGAGCCAGACTGCCTGGGTTCAAATCCCAGCTACATCACTTGCTAACCAGGTAACCTTGGGCAGGTGACTTAGGGTTTCGGTGTCTTCGTTTCCCCAGCTGTAAAATGGAAGTAATGCTGGTTCTCAGCTCAGAGGGTCCCAGCCGGGCTGCCATGGGCACCTACATGGAAGACACTTAGAGCTGTCAGGGTTAGCTCTCATTACTTACCCAATCAGGGGCTGTGAAAATCAAATGAAACAGCACACGGAAAATTTTGCACAGGGCCTGGCTCATGGCAAGCCCCCAGCCAATATGAGTTGAATTATCACTGGACCTAGAATGATCTTTCCCACCTCTTCTGCTTAACTCCCACTTTTTTAGGTCCCAGGTTAAAAGTCACCTCCACCTAGAAGCTACCTATGATTTCTCCCTCCCCCCCCCCCCCCATACCCCCCCACCCCCCCCCACCCCTAAGGTTAGGTTCGTCACTGCTTCCTCACCTAACACATATCACAGTTGCAATTAATTTGTTATTTCGTAACAAGCAGTCTTTAGCCAGAAACGTAAATTCAGGTGCTCCTGGGGATCAGGCAGTGGCAGCAAATGCAACAGTGGATCCACTGTGATGGAGAGTGGGCGGGCCTTTGGACAATAAGCAGAGGAGGAGGAAAGCAGCCCCTGAGAGCCAGGAAGCAGCATCAGCTGGGCCTTGGTGTTGCTGGGAGCTGGGCTGACTCTCGCTGGTGGGTCGTGCTGTTCTCCTGGTGAACGCAAACAGGTTCACAGAATGTCTGCAGGAG